AGCACGCTTGCAGGGCCCTGCTTCAGGGTGCCAAAATCAGCCGAAAACCAGCTACGTTCGAAGGTACCTCCAGAGTATTCTCTTTCTTGAGATCTCAGGTCTCTTGGCTCCGACCTTGTGGGAGCCACTGGGTTGCTGTTAAGGAACTTTAATTCAGCTACTAGAATAAGGGAACCCTAGGGTTTAGGGTACTTGGGGATTAGGATTTAGGGTGTAGGGTCCTTTACTATATACCCACATTATGGTCACTTAAACCTAAACCCTGTAGACCCATGCTATGGTAACTTAATCTGGGTTCCCAAGCAGCAACCCAGTCTATGGAGTCACTTCGAAAGCTTCATCCTGGACCGGAACATGCATTTCGTTTGTCTCCAATATCGTGTCACTTACTGCGCTTAAGGAGTAAAGGGTTTAGGGTATGAGGTTCAGGGGGTCGGAGATCAACTCCGAATAATCCCAATACATACGCCCCTAAACCCTAAGCCCCTTAACCCCTACTATGGTGCTTGTATTCACTTCCCCCTTCGCCTAAGCACCAGTAAGGCGACCGCTCACCCGCAGCCGGCAGGTGTCCTTTGTGGCTCTCTGGGGCGGTCGGCAGGTGCACGTGCAAATTCTTGAGGATTGGTAAGGTAGAGGCCTCAAAGAATGCCAACATTCTTCGCTATCAACCTTCTGTCAAGATACTACAACATAACTTGCAATCGAATTTAAGTTAAAGTTGCACCTGCATTAGATAATTTCGTTTGGACCTCAGAGGGGCTGCCACCTGAAGACATGGGGCTTCCACGTGGCAAGTTCACCCCTACACCCTAAGCCATAAACCCCAAACCCTAGCGGAAAGGTGACATACTTTGTGTCGCATTCTTGGGGTACCAGCTTTGCTCATTTCGTGCGCTCCATCCACTGTCACGCTCTCTCCAGGGAGGGGGAGAGCTGGGTAGCTTGGAAGAGAATTTAGAAACTACTAGATGAAAAAGAGAACGGCAGCTACGATATGTTTGGGTGTGATGTAGAGCCTGCTATATGGATCCATTCTTCCATGATCAGTAAGGTAGATACGAGCTATTGGGTCTGTTCCTTCGCGAACAACCAGTGGGACATCGCGGGTGAGCCCCTTTGAAGGCAAGTAGAGCAAGCTCCCTAAACCCTAAACCCCTGAACCCTAAACCCCTAAACCCAAAACCCTAAACCCCTAAACCCTAAACCCCTCAACCCTAAACCTCTAAACCCTTAACCCTACCCTAAACCCTAAAGAGAACCGTCATGGACTGTTTATAGGTTTCCCTACCATATGAACAGGACCCCTCTCTAAGCTGTCACTAAGTTGTCTGACATTGGGGGGTTCCCAGAAGGGGAACCCCAAAACAAACCTCAAACTACTGCAAGCCTTATTTTAGGGAATTCGGGAACCCCCCCCCCTCCCCCCCCAAAAAAAAAGAAGGACACATCATTCTCGGAAACCCCAACTGCCCAAATCATCTTAAACCGCTATACAATCCCAGTTTCCATTCACCTTGTATTTTTTGAATTTGATTTTCCTTTCTACCAGGGTTTATGTCTTCCTCCATGCGATCTCGAGGTTGGGGGGCACCATTATGGAAAGCGCGTTCGCAAGAACCTTGAAGAGCCCAATCAAAGGCCGGGTTGCTGTTAAGGTGCTTAAGGTATGTTACCATACTATGGGTACATGGTACGCAATACGGTTTCCTTATTATGATATCCCTAAACCCTAGAACGTGAATCCTAAACCCCAATTTTAGGGCTTCTTTATTCTAATGACCCTAAACCCTGTATACCCCATATACCCTTATTACAGTGACTTAATCTAAGTTCCCCTAGAAGCAGCCCACAAAGGAGTTGCCATGGTCTTGGATCATGAAGTGCAGCCGCTTACACGAGCCTCGCTTTGGGGGAGATTTAGGGTTTAGGGGTCTAGGGGTTTAGGTTTAGGGGTTTGTGGTTAAGGGTTTAGGGGTTAAGGGTTTAGGGCTTTAGGGGGTTTAGGGTTCAGGGTTTTAGGGTTTTAGGGTTTAGGGGTTCAGGGGTTTCAGCGTTTAGGGTTCAGGGGTTGGGGTTCGAGGCCCAAGCATGCTAAGAGTAAAAGCAAGAGCCACACGAATGGCAGCAGTACTGGTGATAGTAACAGTATGAGAAACGGTATCAGTAAGAGTAAGGGTAAGAGTAAAAAGAATATGAGGAAGAGTAAGGGTAAAAGTAACATGGTAAAAGTAGTCGTAATAGTGAAAGTAACCGTAAGGGTAAGAGTAATAGGAGCTTGTTGGGAGGTACCAGAGGGGGATGCTTTTCTTCAGGGTGTTAACGAGCTTGATGTCTTCCCTGGCAGGGGGACGCTACCTTTGGGGTGTACAGGTAGCTGAGGACTTCTTTTACGGGGCAGCAGAAGTTTTAGTCAGGAGCCCTAAACTCTAATCCTCAAACCCTAAGGAATAATGGAAAAGAAACTGGAAACCATTATAGTATATTGGTATTATATAGGAGTAATGGAAAAGAAAATGGAAACTATTATAGTTTATTGTAAACCTTTCTCCAAGTTGTCCCAGGAGTGTGGTGCTTGTTCGAATTTCTCCTCTCCAAGCAGCTTCAGCTGGAGCTTTTGTTCACCACAGACCTCGGAGTGGTTGGAGATGATGGATGCACCTCCTTCGATATTGCGCTGGAACTCGGCAACAAGATCGAATCCCTGCAAGTCGCGAACTGCCTCGCCTCCAGTGAGCTAGATAAGGCTCGGATCTCTGAATTCATTGTATGTACCCCATTGTAGTAGCTTCCATGTTTGTTTACGATTATCTCTATAAAGCCCCTATATAGCCACATAACCCTAGAATCCCTGGAAGGCTCGGATCTTTGAATTCATTGTAGAATCCCTGGGAAGCTTGGAGAGCATGGACAATCAAATCAGGAGTCTGATGGGCCAGATGCTCAAGAAGAACCTGGTAAATGTAGGCCTTGCCACTAACAGTCTCTTGCATAGGCTGGGCCAAAGTTGAGTGGCCTACAAGTGCCCTTGTGGCATGTTTCAAATGTGTTAAGGAGCTGTTTGCATGCATTTTTTGTACCTGAGCACGCACAAAGTCGTGGCTCAGAAGATATTGCATGCTAAGACTTATATAAAGCGTCAGGAAACAGGTATCTGCTTCGAAGTTCATGTAATTGGACATGGCAAGTTAGATTCTTGTCCCACAGTGCCAGTGAAATACACGACAAAGCGGTGCTAAATGTCCATAAATAACAGGGATGTGATTCAGGTCTTTGCAGAAAGTGGTGGAGTGATGCTGGAACTGTTACTCAGACAAAGCTGGGGTTCCTCAAGAACTTGACTTCTGTTTCAGTTTTGATGAAGCTGAAAAGAATCACACTAGATTCAGTCCTCGCTGGGGACTCTTGGTTTGTGATCATAACTTCAATGGTTGCTCATGTTGATTATGTTGAAAAAAAGTATGTGTGTGTGTTCTGTGGAGGTGACTGCAAGTCTGGCTCCAAGTCCTTGCACGAAAGATCGTTTTAGTGCCAGCTTGTTGCTAACCTGTGTCATTCGTGATGACATGTCAGAAACATTGCGGCGCTAAGGCTGTTTACCGGCATTTGAAAGATTGTCGCAAGTGGGGTGGTGGTCGCCTTCTGCGCAACACTTTCGGCTCTGCATGGGACATGCGTTAATCCAGGTCGTAGGCATGTACTGATTGATATGGCTGGTCCAGCGCTGTATGCCAAAGCCTGAGATACGTGGACTCTGGCTATGTGGGGTTAGCACAAATAGGGTTCCGCAAAATGGTAGTTTCCTGAGTAGGGGGACCCCAATATAGATCCCAATAAACTATAGTCCTTATGATAGGGACCCCCCCAAAAGGTACTACTAGTTTTGGGAAACCCCCCATATACACCATAGAATATCATGGTCCCTGCCATAAGGAGTCCTGAAAAGGCATCCCCCCCTGACCCTAAACTCTAAATCCTAAACCCCAAATCCTAAGCATGAAGCCCTGACCCACTCCTAAACCCTGAAACCCTAAATGGGGGTCTTTGGCTTGTTCATGCTAATGCAGGCTGGCTAGTCTGCTGCAGCAAAGACAGTAACATCGACCTATGAGCCTTCATAATCGCTTCATACCAAGGTTTAATTGGGTTTTCAGGGTGTAAGGTTTAGGGTTTTTAGTGTTTTTAGGGTTTTAAGGTTTTAGTGTTTAGGGTTTAGGGTTTTCAGGGCTTATGGTTTCGGGTTTTGGGTTTAGACGGGGTGTGTAGTGGAATGTAAGAGCAAATGGACACTACAGTATGATTCAAGGTTAAAGGTTTAGGGCTGATATTGAACACTCCCCCGCCCCTTATATCAAATACTCCCCAATAATAGACTTTATATTTTGCAGGACATGTCTAGTATGAAAGGATGAATAGGATGACTTGCAAAAAGAGGTGAGTGCTTGATAGGCTTATCAGCTTGGTTGAATGGCTTCAGGTGGGGAAGGACTTTGGCAACTGACAGGCCCAACATACTCTCCATGCATGGATGGGCTCATGGTGGTTTCAGATCAGCTGTGAGCCTCACCCATTTGATGTTTCTGGTTTTCAGTTTCCATGTGGTGTTTTCTAGGTTTGCATGTGCGGGTTACGAGTTACGATGGCTGGGGCACTAAGCACCGCACTTTCAAGCCATCCATTTTCAGCAGCATCACTGAACGCGCTTGAGTCCTGTAAAAAACCTCGGAACCCTGAACCTCAAACCCTCGTTCCTGAACTGCAAACTCTGAACCCTTACCCCTGAAAGATACAGTAGTGTTCAATTTTTCCCATTCCCCCAACACCCTGAACGTACATATCTCTGTAAGCACACCCTCGCGCTTGTTCGTCACGAGGATGGCTTCTCGATCTCACGGAAATTCTATGCTGAAGGCAGACCTCGGACGTCCTTGGATTCCCCAAAAGGGGTTTAGGGGGTAGGGGTTCGATTTTAGATGATTCGAGCGTTTAGGGTTTAGGATCCCCAAAATGGACTCCCCCTAATAATTCCCTGGGTTCCCCAACTTAGTAATTTCGCCTTTTTAGCGGTTCCATTGTTGGAATTGGATTGAGAGATGGGAGTTCAGGTTGCGTGATTCAGGGCTTAGGGGTTGGAGTTAGGGATTTGTGGCTGAAGGCGCAAAAAGGTCCGGTGTTTCAGGCTGCCGGGATTTGAATTTTGCGTATTGAGGTTTAGCAGGATTGGGTTTAGCAGGATTGGACAGACCCTAAACCCCAAACCCTACACCCTAAACCCTAACAGGGTTTCCAGTTTCTGGGTTCAAGCTGGCATACCAGGCAAAGAGAATTACACTGCAGGACTTTCGGGGGATTGGACACGGAGTGACTCGTTTGGGGCTGGTTTACGCATGGCAAACAAACAGTTTTATGTTGCTTCTTTACAAAACCTTTCGCTCTTTCCTTTCAAGGGCACTCTGTAAGAAGCTGATTACCTTTCATGGTTCAAGGGATCCATTCTCTGAGAAATAGCTAGACACCGAATTCCAGAAAGTTCCTAAACCCTAAACCCTAAACCCTACAGCCTTTTGCATCCCCAGGATCTGGAGGGTTTAGGGTTTATAACCAGGCTATTCCAAATAATTTGACTCAAGTCCGGTTCATGGTTTGGATGTTGACATGCTGACCCACTGGGCTTCCGGTGGGTATCCAGCAGCTGCACCCAAAACCCTAGACCCGAAACCCTCTATTCACTTTGCAACTTCACCCTTGGCAGTTCGAGTTGAGATTGCAAGAAGCTATTTTGCTGACCGTACTCAAGCATGACTTCACAATCAATTTTGCTCCCTAAGCCCTAAACCCAAACCCCAAACTTTTTGAAAACTCTGTATGCCAGGTGGTCCTTTGATGTCAGCAGATGCTGCAGCCGGAGGTGGTATGTCAAAATCGTAGCGAGTGTCTAGTACATACGGGCTTCCAAAAAACTGGGACGCTGTTTAGATGCTAGTAGTGTCGGAGGCTCATTATAGGCACCTCCAAAAGGGACTCTAATTCTTGGAGGTCTACATATGGATGCTAAGTCATGCCCATGAAATCCGCCGTCAACTATATAGCTTCACACCATGTTGGGTTTGATATGCCCTTGGAAGTAAGCTTGTACCATGCTCCCGCCGCCTGTCCATGAGCAATGGCACGTTTTGTGAGTTACAGGTTACGAGCATATTGTAATCAAAAGGAGTTACACAGGGTTTATGCTGGGTGAATGGAAAATGAATCTGAAAATACTATCATGGTACATTTTAGGAGGAACCCCCGCCCTATAATAGTGGTATGATAAGAATATAAGAGGACCCTAATATAATCCCTGTTATCCCTTATAGTCACTATTACTGGGTGGGGGGTCCACCTAAGGTATATTATGGTAGGGCAGGGTAAGGTACTGTTATGAAATCCTAAACCCTAAACTGTGGGTTTTGGCGTCGGCCTTCCAGGTGCTTCTGGACAAGATGGGTTTAGGTTAGGAGGACCCCCCACCCTGTAATAGTGGGGTTTAGGGTTTAGGGTTTAGGGTTGGTATATCCGGAATATAAGAGGACCCGAATATGATCCTTATTATCCTTTATAGTCCCTATTACAGGGTGGGGGTCCACCTAAGGTTTAGGGTTTAGGGTTTACAATTTTTGTGGTGTGTGGAAATAGGACCCTTGGCCTCTACCCCGAATACATGGCTAAAGAGTACTGAAAAGGGGACGGATAATTTTGAGAACAGGTAACAGTGTCGAGTGTGTAGCATACTGAGCCGAAACTCATACAGGTGAGGGCTGACTTCGTTTCATATCTGGTACAAGAGGGTTTGGGGTTTAGGGTTAAGGGTTTATGCAATATGTTTAATGGGGATATATAAGCCCAATAAGGGAAAAGGAAGCATGGAACATGAAATGGAAAGTGGGGTTAGATGGGTTTAAAGTTTAGGGGTTATATCGTGATTTATGTAAGCTACTGGAAGCTTCCACACCATTCAAGTTCGAGCTCTTTGGCCCCCAAACCCTAAACCCTAGACTCTAAACCCTTAACCCTGGATTGTGGGTAGCTGGCAGCTGGCAGTCTTACATGAGCTGTAGTGTAAACACCCTAAAGGGGGTCATATGGGGCGTTATCTAGGGGAGTATTATAGGGTTTATACAGGGGTATACTAGGAGCTTGGTCTATAGGTCACATGTTTCCAAGACGATTAATCCGTCAGCATCATGCCACATCTGACAATTGCAAGAAAAGAGTCCCTGACGCTGATTTTCAATCATGGTACTGTTGCTGCTAATAATCTTGCATGACCTGATTTCACACAGTTCCTGTAATCCTGGCAGATTGGGTCATTCAGGTTCATGCAAGACTTTGATATCAACGTCACCTTGTCCTTGTCCCAGATGATGTGTCACCACCTGGCCCGACAGCTTCCCTCCCTAAACTCTAAACCCTAAACCTAAAACACGAAACTCAAAGCCCTTCTAGCCGTGGTAGCGTCGGCTCGGTTCCGAAGTGACTTCAATCAAGGGCTTTGAAAAAGAACCCCAAAATAGGAAACCCCAGGAATATGGTAGGCATCTGCTAGCAATATACTTACCAGGGTCCTATTCCTTTCGTATTCCTGCTACATTCCTGGGGTTCCCTGTTTTGGGGTCCCTCCTTTATTCAAGTTTTCAGAAGGTTGTACGTTTGTAGGGATTAGGTTTCAGGGTTTTTAGGGACTAAATTTGGGTGTCTAAAGTCTAGGTTCGTCCCTAAGAATGGTTTTGGAAGGGATTATGATCACACGGAGGTCTAGAGGGTTTAGGATAGAAGGTCGCAACAATATTCCATCATGGAGAACTAACTGGGAAAGAAAGGGAAAATGACATGGGACCATGAATAATACAGGGGTGTGTAGGGCGTTCAAGGGAGAAGGCTGAGTTTTTGCGGATATCATTTCCATATTATCCCTGTAGAGCATACCCTGCCCTTCACCTTGCTTTGGGCCCCCTATGTCATCTTCCATGTT